TAGAACCAGTATGCTACTATGTTACTACAAGTATATCTCCCTGCTAGAACCAGTATGCTACTATGTTACTACAAGTATATCTCCCCGCTAGAACCAGTATGCTACTATGTTACTACAAGTATATCTCCCCGCTAGAACCAGTATGCTACTATGTTACTACAAGTATATCTCCCCGCTAGAACCAGTATGCTACTATGTTACTACAAGTATATCTCCCCGCTAGAACCGGTATGCTACTATGTTACTACAAGTATATCTCCCCGCTAGAACCAGTATGCTACTATGTTACTACAAGTATATCTCCCCGCTAGAACCGGTATGCTACTATGTTACTACAAGTACATCTTCCCGCTAGAACCAGTATGCTACTATGTTACTACAAGTATATCTTCCCGCTAGAACCAGTATGCTACTATGTTACTACACGTATATCTCCTGGCAACTGTTTTACACCAGCTATATGTACCCGTGTTTTACATTTGTGCCTTTGCATGTGTTTTGTAGTGCCACCGGTAGGGTAGGATAGGTTCACCTTTCGTGAACACTTGGTATCATCACCATTTAAAAGTGCTTCACAAACACATGCCTTAAACTTACATTTCTTATGAATATGGAAAGTTTTTTTCTTGCTTCATTTATTTAGTTCTATTTAAGATTTGTCATCGATACAACCACATAATGAAGTGAGCTCGCTTCAGACGCTTTTTATTGAACGTTTATTAATATAGTGACTACGCAAGTCAGCTGAATGAAATTACAGAACTGATATTAATTGAAGTTCATATTGCCAATTTCCCGTTCTCATCGCCAAACGCTAGCTGATGGAGTGAAATTCAAATTTGAATTCTCTAAAGCATCAGGGACGGAAATTGCTATAATTGATAGAATCATTGGCTTTGACATTCACAGAAAACTCTTCGTTTACTTCGGAGTTTAATCTCACAGGCATGCGTCTATTAGCCACGTCAACTCAATCAGGAATGGCGGACCCCGAACACAATGCGTCGTCGTAGTAGACGTTCCCCACCGAGGAAGTCACATCCCGTTCCCCGCTGTTCCGAAAGATCGAAGCCACGATGTTGCTGCAGATCTGTACCTTGATGAATGACTACAGCCATGATATTAACTGCACTGAGAGTTCACAGCAGGGCACAATGGTCCAGTGGTCAGCGAATCACTGCATTGGAAGGATTAGCGTCTGTACAAACCCGGTAACGTAGTCAGCCAGGAAATGGAGGGGCGCTTTACCGAGAACCCTTTTTTCCACAACTGCAGCTCACTGTCTCATTGTTGTCGTCACTATTGGCAAAGGGTATGAAATTTGATTATGATCTGAGGGCTTTTTCAAGATTGAGGAAGTGCTGTCTATCAAGTATACGACTTATCAGTGAAGGCTGAATGGACACGATAATGGTGCAACACCAGCTGGGTCTGTGGAGGAATTCTGGCAGTCCTGGGAACGATTCCATCACATTTTGTAGAGAGCAGTACGTGGAGAGCAATGGTCTGAAGGCGGAAACAGTTAGTCCCGAGTTGTGTTTATCACATTTCAGTTGAATAGACGAACCAAGTTTAACCAGCTTAAGTTGTCTCCCAGCTTTCGGAGAATAGATTAAAACTGAATCCAACGCAAGCGTAGAATTATTTGGCAAATTTAGATGACCTCAGCTCCAGGAAGTAGACATTGTTTCTGGGATCCATTTGGGTTTCACGTGTTGTTTTGTAGATATACGTTTCTATTAAGATCAGTTTACAGACTAACTGTTCTATACAAGACACTATTCGCGTAAGAAATCGTCTCTTTACAAGAATGAGAACCATACCGGTTTTCATTTCACTTAAATGTTATGATCAATCATTAACACATATGGCTTTATGCTTAGTCATGTACAGATGAAAGGTGCGGTAGGGTAGCCTTGTGGATAACGCTTTGATTCGTAACTCCCGAGACCCGGGTTCGATTCCCCGACATGTTGATGTTGCTTGAAACCCATTGGTTATTGCTGTGATTGTTGCTGAACGCGGACTTATGCTTATGTCATTTGGTCAAAAAACAGTGTTAGAATTGATCTTCAGCAACCCAAGCTTGTCGTAAGAGGCGACTAGCCTGATCGGGTGGAAGGCTCGCTGACTTGCTTGACACATGTCATCGTATCCCAGTTGCGTGGATCGAAAACATTGATGAGTGCGGCGTTAAACAACCAAAATACCATATCTAAAATATAACCTTCGCATCACTATTTATAAATGTATGGTGATTTGTTCGACGATAAATAATGCGTACTTTGTACAGGAACCGTAGGAATAATATACCGTTATACTATGATCACACCTGCCTATAGTGTATGGACTGACATACAGGGAACGGATGCCGTCTGTCCATTTGGAAGTGAGGCATGATATAGTCTCTGTCTCTGTCTCGATCGATCTTGTAGCTTGTAGGACTGTGCGAGGTCGGAAGACTCTCATATAAGGTGTTGGTACACTCTTCCGCTACAAGTATTAAAGAAACAAACATCTTGGGCTGGAATAAAAGTCTAATAAAAACTTTATTATTTTAGCCATAGAGATTAATCATGGTAGCACTCCAAATATGGAATGGCCAATTTGCGTGGCCCAGCATACTACACCTATAAAACAGAGCAGTAATAAAGGTGGCTACCACGACGGACAACCCCGGTGGTGGCTTCATGCCGGGCCAGGACGAGCAGGTCAGAGGGATCCTTCTCAGGAGTCTCATGGAGGCTGGGCGACGGTCTACCAGTGTCGGCATACGAACGGCGGCTGCGCATTCCGACACAGTAACCCGTTATGTTTTGGAGTAATTACTGCGAGGATATTAGCGTTGTACAGACCCCGTATTAATACAGGTCCCTTGTGAATACATCCAGCCAATACAGGTCCCTTGTGAATACATCCAGCCAATGTCTCCGCCAGCCGACCTTCAGAACAGCTTCCACTATAATCGGCACTGACGGATCGCTGATGTGGTCATTCTGTCAAGACGTGGTTTGTCCCGTTGTCACAGACCGACAGCAGATTTCTCTCATTAGCAGCTGATAACTTAGCCTCACTGCTTGTTTTAACTACCCAGACTTGAACGACGTTTGTTTAGATTGTACGTACATCGACCATTCTGGAAATACCAGAATAGCATCACTCACAGGGACATGTTTCTATACCAGTGACGTCACTGAAGGAGAACCTCGTGAACCAGTAGCCCTGAGCGCCACAGTTGCGTCCCATAACGGTGGCAGGATCTGCTCATTATAACCAAAATATTTCTCGAATATAACCATTTGCATGAATATGGTAAACACCTAAGACCTGTGTCATTTTAGAAATTTAAGTTTTCCTCCCAAATTAAAGTTGTCACACCGTGAAAGAACGAAAATAGTGTTCACAGAAGCGTAAATCCAGTTAATTTATTCACTCGTTCTCTCGCTTTTTCATTGCAGTGATCAAAACCGTTTGAATAATACGATAAAATGAAACATTCAAATACACCAAAGCCTTTCACAATGAAAGGTAACGTAGCACCAAAGCTACACGACCCCGCGTTTTCACAATGCCTTCAAACAAGCCGTCTTTTGCTTCAAGATAAATCAATATTTTTCATGCAAACAGGAAAAAAACAACAAAGGACCCCTCGCCTTAAGCTAAATAAGCCATACCGTTGACATGTTTTTATCACTACCTACTGATGTCGTGTAAAAAGAGTAGAGTGAAAAAAATAACCGTAGCGTTTGCGATAGATCACCATATGACGAAAAAACGTATTGTGATCATCTGTGTGATGAAAAAGAGTGTTCTAGTTGAGTGGCGTGTTCCTGTACTGGCGCTAGTCTAACAAGACCAAGAGTGCAATTGGGTGCATATGGTCACATTTCACGGAAATGACCCTCTTGTTGCACACCCTCTTAACGATGATTACACTCCGTGTTCAAGAGACGATAATTCAGCGTTCAGCAACCACCACATTATCGGCTCTATTAATCCTACAATCAACTTAAACACGCAAATTACGTTTTACATCACGCTCATTAAGGTCATCAATAAATCAAGAAGGAAACGATTCCTCCAAAGAAACCTTCAGAGAAAGTCATATGCGCATAAAACCCAAATACAAGACATCCATTGTTTTCTCAGCTTCAATCGTCAGAACAGATTGCCAGAGATGTTTCAAGGTTTTAAGTTTCAAAGCCAATTTGTATGATGTAAATTAATTTAGAAGCAAGTGAGTAGGTTGAAATGTTCCAAAATTCTGCCAAACTATGGTATTGCCAGATCATGTGTTAACCCATTAGTCCTCTGAATGGGGTCTGTGTACAGCAGCTTGCGTGACCCAAAAGCTTCCGTGAATTAAATACGGCAACGTAAGCCTTATATTCACAATCCTAATTTCTGTACTGTCACTGAAGCGTTGATGACGTCACTTTACGCGGTCAATACCATTAAAGGGGAGGCAGCAGCACGACTCGGTACCGCCATTGGTCCCAGCATCAAAGAATCTGTCGATCCTATCGTTCTCGCCCATAGCACGTTTGCCCACATCGTTTTTTTATGCCATGTTCTTCGAAAATATCTGAGATTCGCATATGCTTTCACGTGGCCGGTCGATAACTGGTTTCACTCTCGGCAGGAATGCTGCTTCTCGAAGACGTAACACTTATTGTATGAAACACTTCAAATACGACAACATCCCAACTGCGTGAAAAACGATAAAATTACCGGGACGTGTGCCTCTCCGCCACTGATGACGACATCACGTATGAAACAAACAAAAAACGTTCGATCTCTTAATCAAATGCTCATAAATTCTCGGAGTAAACGCTTTACTACAAAACCTGGATACTCGCTCTAATTACCAGATCAATAACTCCCACTACCAGCGCGGAGGAAGTAAGGGAGGTAACTACCGTCGGAATGAATGTATGTCAGAGAATTGGTAGAAATCGATAATTCCGGGTCCACCGAGTCACGTGACCCTGGTACTGCTATTCTAACCGTGTATTTACATGGAAAAGACTGACCTGTGGAAGCGATCAAAACACCTCCGTCAACTTCCCGTTCAAACACAGGGTAAGTGTATCTATGTTCTCTAATACACATTTCTACTGATGTTTACTGTGATAGGAGCGTGTCGAGCGTGATTTCCACCATCGTCGTCATTCAAGAGTCTTATCTTTAGGATTTGATGTATCCGAAAATGGTCAGCGATGAGCTCGTATAGACATGATGACGATACTGGAAATGTTTCAGTTCAGTTTCCATTTTTCATTCTTATTATCTGAAGGTTAGTAAATAACTTTTAGGACCACAGAAGCGTGTTGTGTATGTAGTTCTCATATAGCGTCTTGTGAATTCCTTTACTGTCAAGTAACGTCCGATTCTCACTAACCTTGGATGACATACCCAAGGGAGCTAACCTACGACAGTATCGATCCCTGGACATATCAACGTGTTTGGTCAAGCATGCGGGCGAAGTACTTAATGCTAACTAATTCGGATTCATCTGGTGAGCGCTTCCTTATACCCTGGAAGTGAGTCTGTCTCGCGATGTATTGACGGAGGGCTCACAATCGCCTCCCCCCTCCCCCCACAGTCAGGACAGTCCGTTGTAGTCCGGCGCTACAGGTTGTAAGGACTTGCTCTCAATTTCGAGGCATTGCGGCGGAGGGATGCTTCGTTTGTTTTATTGCCTTGGTTTAGAGAGCGCGGTGTTATAAATGAAGGAAATGGTTTCTCCAAGAGTACATGGCGCGGTGTGGTTATGGGGGAGGAGAAAATTGGAATTGGTGATGACGGTAGGGCAATTCCTTGCTCAGTTTGAACTGTGATCAATTTATGTTCCTGGAGTTGTCTTTGGAGATGTGCTTTAAAGTGCCACTCGGAACGCTACGTCCCAGGAGTAAGGTTATTTACCCACTATAATTGAACGTGATGTAAGATACATCCAGTAATTAATTTATTTCGGGGTTAGGAAGTCGACTCGCGTCTTTCGCCGATAATTGAGTTTTGTAAACAATGATAAGTTTTTTACGTAGTGGCTGTGTTCTGTCGTTCAGGAAAGACATAGAAGGCGTGGTGCCAGAGTGATTATTTTACCATTGTCTGGTGCTGAGGCTATATTCAGTGTTATATACGGCAGCCCCTGTAGAGCTAAAAGTTGATAGGTCCGTCTATGCTACGGTCGTTCTGGTAATGGTGGAATGATACCAATGACACGTACGGAGCTCCATGATTGTGTTTGCAACCCTCTACTATTATATATCAAAGCTGTGCCTCGCGGATTCCGGGTGGAGACTCGCTAATACTGCTTCCTGTTATTGATGCCGTGGAGTCGGCAACCTTCCCCATTAATCTTCATGTGTTGATATGCTGCTATTGAGCTGGCGTGTCTCCGTGTGGTAGCGTCTCGCCTGCTTGTTGAGCAGGGATGATAAACTGCCAGGCAAATTAAAGTATACATACAAAATTGGATCTAGTCCAAAACACATCTACGATACCGTATCAATACATTGCCATAAAATATCAATTTCTCATTTATTTGTAGCCAACATCAAACAGGATTTATTCCTTCTTTTGCCCGGCAGTTTAGAAGAGGTGTTGTCAAGAGGTGCCGTCAGCAGTCACGACATTGTCTACCGTAGCCATGACGCAAACGTGCATGCCACTGTCGTCAGTATTCGCTTATAAGCGTCATTGTTCAATGCATTTAATAGAAGACAAGTAATCCTGAACGGTAAACATTGTATATGTTGCGTCCATGTAAATGGCAGCTGTAAGTTGGACAAAGTACTGTGACTATGTGTCCCAGTCCACCCAGCTGTGAATGGGTACTTCGTTACGATGAGAAAGCCACAATAACTCGGTGCGCCTAATGGCAGCAAGAGTTGTATACTCCCCAGGGAGCTGAGATTGATAATACGATGTGCCGTTGAGATTGACATCCAATGATCGAGGGAAAAAATACCAGCGCATTGAGCTTGCACTAGTTGCGTGGATATGTGCGCTATATAAATATCCTATAATAAAAATAAAAAAAAGCTGTATCGCCGCACCTTACAATGCTGTTCTTGTCTTATAGGCTAGGCCCCTGTCCCTCCAACAGTCTGCCCACTGCGGCCATCCATGGGGTTCAATAGGTAACTAGACTTTACTTTTGTAGGAATGCATTTAATATGGTGTATTTAAATACATCGTTATAGACTGACTTGTTGTCTCAGCATTGTGTGCCTATGAGAAGGTGTCTCCTTGACGCGCCGATCTCAAGGCAAGGGCCATGTCGTATGAGAAAATATTTTTTCATCTGTTCTACCTTTAATACGAAAAAACGTTTATATCGCAGAAGGTCTGACCGAACATATTATAGTATCTCACAATAAGCTAGCCCCAACACACCTTACCTCGAATGATACATAAATCCGTAGCCAATTGCGATTTCATGTTTTTGCTCGAATAATTAGGTTACTTAAATGTTTGGTTATACATTTAACTATTTCATGCACAGTTATGACATTTGGTGTTGCAAGCAGTGAAGTTCATCTTCTACAGCGTGAAGCATACCAAACAGGTGAGGTGAGGTGAGGTGAGGTGAGGTGAAATTGGGTTGAACGTCGTGATTGAGAATATTTCGCTCATATGACGACGTGCATGCGTGTGTATGTGTATGTGTGGCTGCTTGTACTAGCCCAGACTGAAGCTGGTTTTATAGTGCTAGCCCACTGATATACCATGCCGCAGTGAAGCATGAATACCCCACTCAGACACATTATACTGACTCCGAGCCGACCAGTCCTTGTTGTACCCATTAATGCCGAGCGCCAGGCAGGGACCAACAAGTACCATATTTTAACGTCTTTTGGTATGACGCGGTCGGGGATCGAACCAGCGACCTTCCGCTCTCCGGGCGGACGCTCTAACCACTACACCACGGAGGCGGTCTGCATACCAAACAAGCAAAATCTATTACATTCCAGTCATTTCCCTTGTGAATTAAGTCAACAGTACCTAACGTCTCTATTGTCTTTCAAAGTAGAAGGCAAACATTATCAATCACAACAAATGCTTCAAAGTACAAACAAGAATACGGAACTGTGCTAATTTCTCAATCTGCAGTCATCAATGAGTTCTTAACGACTATAAGATGCAAACACCTAATTTAAAGGAGATATACCTGTTGGCATCAACACGGTGATACAGACATCAAATGGCAGCTACCTTAAATCACCACATTTCACCACTACATCAAAAGACATATGAATTAAGGATTTTTTATAATAATCCGTTGGTTACAGCCGAAACAACTGACAAAGCTGATGATACGACAAGCAAGTGAAAACAGCTGTTAATTTCTCCCTCGTTAGTGGTGATACTCGCCAGTCACTATAGCCAACAAACGCACACACCCTCATCGGGGGATCTGGAGAGCCTGCAATAATGTCCCTTTCTCATGCAACAAATTCATAATGTCATCAGTCTAATTGCTGACTACCGGCTCTTCCAATCTCGCATATCGCCTTGTGTTCGTGACTCGCTCCATCATGCAATCAGCATATACAAGTTCCAGCATTCCAACGTCGGATACAATAAAGCCAACCATTAAATTGAGCTTTCCATTCCTGTTTGCAATACAAAGTTACTCATAGCCATAGCCTGGTCCTGTGGTGAGGCTTTGAATGAGGCCACTTGACTTTCTAAACGACTGCCCCTGAGTCAGTATGACTAACTGTACATATCTAGATTACGATTCAGCTGTCAACACTACATCTAGTTCCTACTGATGCAGTGTTCTCTCATCTTCAACAACGACCAAAGGGATTCCGGTATGGAAGTGGGCCCCAGAACAAATGCTGGTCTGTCATGGCGACCAAACGGATGAGTTGGTCAGTCTCGGGGACGTAGGTGTCATTGTGACCAATTGTGACCCTTGAGGTGGAGCGTTGTTCGCTGGATTACCTAGTCAAGGTAGTTATAGGCCGGTGTCATGTTGCTGGAATATTGCTGAATAGAGGTTAAAAAACAAACGCAAACAGTCAAACTTATATTGTTCATGGGAATAATGAAAACTGCGCCTGCAAGTACACACGTGTGCTACAGACCTACATAAATGGCCCTGTAATTTAGAACGTATTGTACTTGAGATCCATGAGACACAAAATTATTATGGCTTTAGGTGCATTGAGTGCTTCTGTGAATTTATATGGATTCATAAACCTTTGTACGCATCAAATGTCGTATGCGGGTAAAGAGCGCCCGCGTCCCATCCCTGGCATTCACGATAAAAGGGTTCAAACAACGAGATATATGGAAAGCCATCTGTCACAATTATACATCCATGATAAAACCGTGCGTGGTAATCTCCCAGTGCACGTGCCAGCGTCATTATACAGTGTTCTGTGCTGCATCAATAGCTGTACATCATAATACGTCTATGCCACGCCCGAGCAGTTTCAGCCGTAGTCGTAGTCGTAGTCCCATGCTGTCACCGCTGCATACGGGATCAGTTGCAGTAATATGTGATGTCAGGTAGACGCTGAGACGATCGATACCTGTACAGGAACTATCCTTGTAATTATTCCTTGCATCCCCCTACGTCTGTCATATCGTCCTGATTCCAACCCGGTGATTGCTGCCAATTCTTTATTCCCAAATACCACAAAAACTAAAACTGTTCAGTGGAATTATTAATGGCTGTTTCAGAGGCCCTGCGTGAACTGTAATTTGAGACCAAGGATGTTTGATGACTTCTGTCTTAAAAGACAACATTTTTATAACTTCTTTACTTCTGTCTCAACTAGCTTCAAGAAGGCCTGAGCTAAACGAACCCGATAAACTCCATGTTATTTATTCCAGTCGAGTGGTTCTTAGTCCTCTCAACATGTTGCTCAACGCAGGAAGAAGTCCTTGGTCTGCACAGAAAGTTAATCTTATCCGACCTCTGATTTCTGCTGCTTCCATGTGGCCTTAAGGCGGGATGACGTTTTCAGTGCCGAATAAAATCAAGTAGAAAAAACATCTTACAGGTGTCATTGAATCATGTGAATCTTATCAGATTACTTGCATCAACACTCCTCCAA